ATAAAGCCAATGGCTATCTACAGTAATTTTTGAAAGGTTTAAGCATCCTCAATTTGATGAAAATTTGAAATATCCTCAATTTCATACTAGTTTGATGTTAACGTTGAAGCATCAAAACTGTACGTTTTTCATCAAAGTTAAATGTAATGAAACAAAAGATCAAACGTTGGAGACACTCTTATACTACCAATTTTGGAACTAATTAAGGCTTCTTTTGGGAAGTGGGTTAGTTTTTTGACTTTTTGGCTATTTTAATCTAGGGCTACAAAGGCCCTGCTTGATAGGACTTATTTCAGCTTTTAGCTTAATTTAAGCTATTTTGATGTGTTTGGTTTAGTTTAATAATACAACTTATAGCTTTTTGCAAGTCAAAAATCAACTTATTCTTTGAGTGGGGGAGGAGAAGCTTAATTTATAAATAAAAAATCAGCTTATGTTCACAGTTATAAGCTATAAGCTGTTAGGCTATAAGTTATAATCACTTTTCCACAGCTCTACCAAACAGCGCCAAAGTCTCGTTTTGTAAGGACTTTTTGGTTTTTTTGTGAGAGAAAGAATGTAATGATTATGGATTAGATGTGATATTTTGGCCTTGTTTGTTATAATCTGAAAAAGTCAAAACGTCATTATCCTATTTAAATCACATCATCTTATTTAAGTCACATCACCTCTCTACTACATCACTTCAAACTCAACCCATATTTTATAAAAAGTAAAAAAGTGCATTTATTTAGATCATACCAAACGACCCCTTTGTCTTGTTGAACTAAAAAGTCTATTTTGTGGCTAAAATAGTCCCAAACTCAACCCAACATTTTTTCTCAAATGAAACCTAAGAAAAAAGAGTTTGGATCATAAATTCAAATTTGAATTTTTTTTTTATCTATCATATACACCTCTTCTCTCTTCAACCTTCATTTCCCCAAACCCACTATCTCTTCTCTCCGTCTCTAGCATCACCACCGCCATTAGCGGCGACTCTTCTTCTTTCTTCTCTTCCTCCCCCACCGCAGATCGGCCGTTTGCTGCTGAATCTACTATTGCTGATACAAATGAAAGCTCTCGCTTTGTCGTCTCTAGTTTGCCTAAGACCGCTTAATCGTCGCCAAGAACGAGTTCGAAACAACTAGCTCCTCCGCTGCCCTCTGCGGCGACAAACAGGGAAGTCAGTCCAGAGATACCCCTAAACAGAGCTTGAGCACCTTGAATTGAATTCAAGCTAAGTACGCACTATTTCGCACTTGACCGCACGACTTGTGTCAGGTAGAGGAGAACGAAGACGGCGTGAAGCAAAATTGTTTGGGCCAGTGGCGACTCTAGGAATTTTTGTCAGTGGTGTCAATCAAAAACTTAAATACCATATATCTTACAGAAAATTCGCATTAATCATTATATCACATATGGAGAAAAAAATCAACAAATTAATTTAAATTCTAAAATTATAAACAAAAATATTTCAATATATTGATACTATTATTTAAGCAAAAAGACATGCTAATACACGAACTTCTACAATTGACCACGACGAGATTTCATATTTTGAAATCGTTGCATAATAAGCTCATTATCAAACATTATCAAATAGTGGGTTCAAAAGAGTAGGATTTAAAACTATGGGTTCAAAGCTGTATTTTAGTGGGTTCAATTACTAATTTTTTCCCTAAAATCTAATATTTATATAATAATAATAATAATAATAAAAATTCAGCCAGGGGGTTCGGGTGACACCCCTGGCCAAGCCTTGGAGCCGCCCCTGGTTTGGGTGTAGCCTTGGCAGTGCGTGACGGACACCGTCTTGTCGAGGGCATATGCCGCTTCGTTCGTGGCATCGCAAACTCGCAGCTTGGGGATGATTCTCTCTCTTTCTGGTATAGTTTCTCTCTTTAGGAATTCTTTCTAGATGCTTAGGTTGCGTTTGGTAGAGTTTTCTAAATATGATTTGATAATAGAGGTGTATTTTGAGTTTGTAGATTTTGAAATTATGATTTGAGTGTAGAAAATTTGTTTGATGAAAGAGTTTTGAAAAGAGTTGGGAATTTTTGATGTGACATATGATATTTGATACAAAAACTTACAACTTATAACCAAACACACAACTCAAAATTCTATTAAAACTCATAATTTTTTTAAAAAAATTTAGAAAATATTTTTTATTGAATATATAAAAATTAACAAGTGTCAATTGCAAAAAAAATAAAAATAAAAATAAAAAATAAATTGCACTATTCCGGTCAGCCAGCCGAACGACCAGTGGGACGTCCGGTAGCCCAAATTTTTCCTGCTTCCGACCGCGTTTTCAAAAGTGAGTGTGGAATTAATTTTTGAAAATCCTAAACAAACATTATGTTCAAATGAAACTCTGTAACTAACTTTCTAAAGCTTCACCAAAAAGAGCCTTAGTTTTTCAACTTGAAATTAAAGGGGGTGATGTGGGCTTGAACCTTTGATTAGATGGATTCAATAATCAATTTGTACAGATAAGAAAAAATTTGTACAGATAAATTTTTGACAGATAGTGGGTTCATGGAGAGAGAGTTCAAATAATTTTGACAGATAGTAAGTTTGTGGAGAAAGAGAGAGTGAGTTGGGTTTTGAATAGATATAATTTTGATATATAGGACCCTTCTCTCTCATCTCACTATCTATATCTGTCTGTGTATGTACCAGAATTTGAACAGATAATTTATCCAAAACAAAAATTGAACAGATAGAATAAAAAAATTGATCAGATAGCAAAAAAAATAAGCTTGGTGAATTTTAAGAGATAGATGCAAATTTGAATATATAGGTTCAAAAAACTGAATAGATAAAAAAAAATAAAAAAAAAAGATTTGAACAAATAGGTTAAAATAAAGGGCAAAATTGAAAATAAAATATTCTCCAAAACTACAAAATGTACTTCCAACCACAATATTTTACAAAGTATGTACTTCTCACCCAAAAAAAAAAATGCCCATAGGACCTAATTCCTCAAGCAATCCTCAAATTGAATTTATCACCGGTTTTCTCTTTAGGAAAATGCGTCGTAGCTCGACTTTTAGAGGTTCGAAACGGCTCGAAATGGAGAAAGAGGGAGAGAAGAGAGGAAACAGAGGAGAAAGAGGGAGAGAAGAGAGGAGGAAGGGAAGAAGCAGAGGAGAAGCAGAGCCTCGCCACCGCCACCGCCGCCGCCAATCGTCGCAGCAGACCGTCGCCTCGCCCAGCCCCGGTCGTCTGCCCAGCCCCGCCGACGTCGCAGCACCACCGTCGTCTGCCAGCCCCGGTCGTCTGCCCAGCCTCCCCTCCTCCTCCAACCGATTTTTATGGCCCCCTCCCCTCCTCCTCCTCCTCCTCCTCCTCCCTCTCTCTTCTCTTCTTCTTCCTTCTTCTTTTTCTTTTTCGTTCTGCAAAAATAAGAAAGGGGAAAAAAAAGAAAGGCCAAAACGACGTCAACCGTTCTCTTTAAAGTATGTACTTCTCACCCCAAAAAAAAAATGCCCATAGGACCTAATGCCTCAAGCAATCCTCAAATTGAATTTATCACCGGTTTTCTCTTTAAAAATAAAAAATAAAAAATAAAATCTATAATGCAATGTGAAAAAAGAATTTATGATGTGATTAAAACTATGTCCTAATGCTCTATATTCTCTATTTTAATGTATTTTTAATCATTGCATTATGTGAAGAAAAATTATTAAATTTTTTTTTAGTAAAAATTAATATCCTAATCTGTCAAATATTATGTAAAAATCTCAAAATATATGAATTATAAGAAATGATTCAATATATTAACAATATATTAAGAAAACAGAAATAGAGCAGCCAATTAAACTTCGTAAATTTGTCGTTGTTGCATTAATTAACTTTCCCACGCATACCCTAGTTAAAGAATATTATTAAAGAGCAAAAGCTTGGAAAAATGCATGCGGTTTGTTAATGTTGTCAGTATTTTATTCATAAAATATCAAAATAAAATAAATTTTTTTATTGTAAAAAATTAAAATAAAAAACTTGCTTGGGGTACAAATATTTTTAAAATAAAAAAAAAAATGTTTAATGAGTTGCTACAAATGCTGGCCGACAATGGATGATGAGGATGGACAATGCAAAGTGGCCAGAGGTGACCGGTGATTAAAATGGTGACCAATCTTCCTCGGAAGATTTGTTGAAGCTCACTAATGGTTGGGTGGAGGTCATAGGTAATAAACCGACCAAGCGGTGGGCCAATGGTGGGTGGTGGTGACAGGTGGTCAGTGGTGGGTGATAGAAAAGAGACTAAAAATTTGTTTTGAAAAATCACCTTTTTTTAGTTTACAAAAATTCTAAAAATTTTGAAATCAATTTCATTTTTTTAAAACAAAAATAATATATAATCAACAAACAACAAAATATAAGAAATAAAAAAACTAAAAACATTAACAAATAACCCTTAAAAGATCCCCTAAACATGACATACCTACAAGCCCCAGTCCACACTTTAAAACACAAAGGGTAAATTACATAAAATTCATTTTTAAATAGTCTTTGCACTAACCTATGGTGATTTTCTTTGGATTGTAATTAATTGTTTTTGATGGATTTGTAGTTTTTTTTTTGTTGTTTCTAATTTGTTGTATAATTGTTTGTTTGGTCTTTAAGGTCTTGTCATTTTTTTTTTGTTGTATGGTTTTTGGTAAGAGAATATTAAGATCTCACTAATTACACAACACACACCTCTCTCTCTCTCTCTCTCAAACATGTTTTAATATAATATCCCTGCTCTAGTTAGCAAATATGAACCAAAACGATGGAAGGAGCCATTTAAACAGAAATTTCATACTTTAAACTAAATTCATGGACTTTAGATATTAAAAATCAAAGTGTTACAGAACACCTTAATTCAAAATATGACTTTGAGATCACTGAAACTTAGATTATAGCCAAATAATTGTAGCACTGATAACACAACTTAATATCCATTAAAATAACTATACCTTTCAAACAATAAAAAAATCACCAAACTAAAAAGTAATACCACTAAAACAAACTAAAACTAAAACATCTAACTATCATTAGTTAAAAAACCTAAAATAATTTTGTCTAACAAATAGCTTCAACAGCAAGTCTTTGCCCAACGAGTTTGCAATTATTAGGAAAAGTGAATTCGGATGCATCAATCACACAACTCTCTTTGCCAACGCATGCCTGCCATTAACCAAAAATAAAAGAATCAGAACCTGAAAAATGAATTAATCAACTAAAATCAAGTGTTCGGAGGATTAAAAAAAATTTCAAAACACTAAAAACGAATTAATCAACTAAAAACATGCAATGGAGGATAAAGTAATAAGTAAACTTACATTTTCGATGATCGTTGTAGTGTTAGGAGATTCACAAGTTCCTCTTTCAAAAGATCCACAAGAACCTCTTGGATTACCATAGCTAGCAAATTTGATTTCAGAGATAGTTCCTCCTTGGCATGATAGCTCCAACTTGTTCCCTTCATAAGCATTTGCACAAATTGTTCCAACCGTGACGGTTTGGATTTTCAAATTAGCAGGGTTGCCTCCAAACTCCTCAAACAAAACCAACAAGTTATCGTCGTCTTGAAGGAAAGACCGAGGCACATGGTACCTAGTAATTATTAATAAATAAATAAATAAACATTACTAAATTAATTATTTTGACATAAAAATTATAATAAATTTTAAAACTCTTATATATATATGAAATTGAAAATTTTAATTACCATCTTTGTGAAGATTGGTTGCATCCACTCAAGCATTTTGAATTAGAATATGTTCCGCGATAGTCACATTTATAATCACATCCATTATCATCAGCAAAAAAACTTGGCCAGTATCTCCCGATGTTGTGGCCGTTCACCCAAGCAATTCCTTTACCTAATCCCAATAAATCCAAAACAACTGGATCATCCCCCATCGGAGCCATAAAAGTCGTCTACAACAAATAAAAAAATAAAAAATTGTTATTTCGAGTTCTTAGGATAAGAATGTTAGAAAATAACAACAAAAAATTAAAAAAAGCAAAAAAAAAGAATGGCATTGCAAAAAATTAGCAATGTTAAATTGATTGAATCACCTGATACCAAACAAACATCCTATCTGTAGGGAGATTTTCTAGTTCCCATTTTCGGTTATACCGATTTTCCCTCATGTAGAGTTTTTTCTTGTCTATACCATGGATTCCGACCTTGTATGTCCAAGTACTATTTTGCAAGTCCTTCACTTGGTTGTTATCACCCATCAATTTCACCGGACCATGAATTCCATTTTTTATTTCATCAAAGTGGTCACCATAGTTCTAGTCACCACAACATCAAGAGAAAAAAAAATGTGTTTAATTAATTATTTAAAAGACTAGAACAAAAAAAAGTTGCCATTGTTTTACACTTAATAACATAATTCTTACTTCCAAACCAACAGTGACACTCAATAGAGATATCAAGTTCGTTCCATTTTTCATTTTAATCTTTGATTCAAAATCGAATTCATAGCGCCCACCTTTGGCCCATTGAGATCCTGAAATTAAATTATTATAAAGTCAAAACATGCAAGAAAATGAGTCAAATGAATATTACAATTGAATATTTGGACTTTCTAATGAGTTAATCAAAATTAATTAATCACATTACTAACGTGCTTCCCGTTAACAAATGCATGAAGTCCATGCCCAGCCGTTTGAACTTTTAGGGGAATCAGCTTTTTTGGTTCTAGTTTTCAGAAAATAATTTTCAAAAAATTTTATTTTTTTTATTTTTTATATTTTAATATTTTCAATAATTTTTTTTAATATTTTTAGTAATTGTTTTTTACTTTTTAGACACACCAACATAAATATACTTAAAAGGTATAATATTTGTGAAAAATCTTTAAAAAATACACTAAATATCAAAAAAAAAAAATACAAAAATTCAGTACATTTTTTGTATTTTTGTCTATCTATTAATTTTTTAAAATATTTTTTCATAAATATTTTACTATTTAGATATATCTAAGTAAGGTACATTTAAAAAAGTAAAAAGTGCTTAAAATATTAAAAACATTCACTAAAAACGAAAAAATACAAAAAATAAAAAACTTAGTTTTAAAAAAAACTTAATCTATAAAACTCAAACCAAGCACACTCGTCATAAAATAATGGTCTTTTTTCGATAATTCAAATTTTTTTGATAGTATAATTATTATATTTTTAAAATATTAATTTTTTAAAATTATCTTTTGATAGTTCATTTTTTAGATAATACCAATTGTCATAATTATAAAGCTTACTGTCATCATATTCCCATATTCAACATTTCTAATCACAGCATGTGTGAGGATATCCTCCATTGATCTAATGAGGAGATGGAGTTGCTTAAGATGTCCCCACTTGGGTTGATTCAAATTTCCTAAAAAAAATATCATAATAATACATGTAAATGAAAAATATAGTTTACAAAAATTAAATAAGAAGTTAAGTTTGTTTACCATATTCATCAAGGGGTGCATCGTAATCATATGTTGTAGCAATGTAAGGACCTCCCGATACTCTACCAAAATTAGTACCACCGTGGTACTTAGTTGGAAAAAAAAAAAAAAATGCAATTCAGAAATTATCTATTTTGTTGTTGAATTTTATGCAAAACAAAATAAAAAAATGTATTTAGTTACAAACCATATAATAGTTTTGTAACATGCCACCATATTGAAAAAATCGTGCAACCGCAAAGGCAAGATCTTCGGCAGTTCTGTGCGGAGTTTTTTGGCCCCAACCCTTATACCTAATTAATCCGTGATAGAAATATAATAATAAGCATGATTATTGATTTAATACATAAAAACATGATACTAGCAAAGACAAATATTGAATACTACCAGCCGCTCCAATTTTCGGTCCACATCTTCGGAATGCCGCTACTAGGATGGAATCCATCACAATACCAACCATTGCATGTGTTAATCTGTCAGAATAAACTTAAAACTTTAAACACATTTACTTAAAAATTAAAAGGATTAAAAGAATTAGAATATAGAAAATATTAATACCATTCCTTGTGGAGGATTCGATTGTTGGCACATAATCCATGGCACTCCAATGTGGAAAGATTGAGCCAAGTCAGCACACCAGTTTATGTATGATTTTCCCTCATTTCCATAGGACCACATAACATTGCCATACTCGTTTTCAATCTTTAATTTTTTATTTTTTGAAAGAGAGAAGAATAATTATATTGGTAATAAGAATATTCAAACAATTAGAAAAAATAAAATAAATAAAATAATATCATAATACTACAAACAAACCTGTGCGAGGATTATAGGTCCTCCTTTGGAGGCAAAGAGACCTTCATCTCTTACCATGTCAACAATCAAAGTTGTGAAATTTTTCATCTCATTCTGAATTTGAAAATAATTGAAAAATAGTTACTGAAAGATAATTTTTTTATTTTTAAAAGTACCAAACACTTAATTGTAAAATTCATAAAATTACCTCATACACTTCATTGTTAGTCCTGAATGCAATGCCCGGAATATTATGCAACCAAACCGGGAACCCTCTGCGAGATATAAATAAATTAATTAAAATAAGTAAATTTATTTATTTTTATAAAATTTTATTATTATGTAAATTTAGATATTAGGATAATTACCCATAATTCCATTCTGCACATACATATGGTCCAATGCGCAAAATGGCATACAACCCTTCATCATGGATGGCTCTAATAAATCTAACAAGATCTAAATTTTCTGAAAAATCGTACTGTGTAAATGATATGAAAAAGAGTTAAATTCATATATAGTAGAGGAAAAATAATCTATGAGAAAATGATAGATGAGAAAACATACTTGTCGATATATTGGCTCATGGGCATTCCAAAAGACATAAGTCTCAATGGCATTGAGACCTCCTTCCTTTGCTTTCTTGATCAAAGATGGCCACATCTAAAAAACAATTTTACAAATTCAACTTGATTGTCGTACTCTTTAACACGAGCATCCATAAATTCTACTAGGAAAAAAAAAACTTTTAAACTAAACAACATTAACTCTATTTGATTTTGAAAGTAGTTGGACTCTTTCATTTTGTGTTTTTGTTGTCTATATGAATTATTTAAGTTAAAAAAAAAAAAAATTAGATGCACATAATCTTGATGTATCTAAAAAAAATTAAAACATTTGTGAATTTTTTTAAATATTTTGCTTTTAAATATATTTAGACTAAAAGAATTTAAACGGTAAAAAAATTGCTTAAGATATTTAAAAAGTTCAAACAGTAAAAAATAAAATTAAATAAAAAACTCAAATTGTTTTTTAAAATTATTAAACAAACAATGTTTTAAACTTCTTAAACAATAGGTGTCAAATGGGTATGAATCCCTATTTGATAGGATCCCTTAATTTTTTAATGAAATGAAATGAAATTAAATACTACAATACAAATTTAAAAAAAAAAAATAATTAACAATTTTTTTTATAGCTTGACCCATGTAGAGTCGCCCCTGAGCATCGTGTGATGAGTCTCCCTATTTGTTTTTTTCTTTTTCAATTATATAAAATTAAGATTCATATGCTTTAACATTAATAAATTACAACCTAAAAGTACAAAATACAAATCTGCATTCAACATTGAATTCAAAACTTACTTCGGGAGTGCTACGAGGATAGTGTATTGAACCAGATATTATAATTTTCCGTTCCCCATCAATTGTAAGCGCTTTTTCGTCATATGAAACATCAAGAGCAAACGAAAAAGAAAAACAATAATAGAGCAGAATTATGGTAGTTAACACCAAAAATCTACTACAATCATTCATTTTTGCAGTGTGAAAATTCTAATTCTAATTCTAATTCTATTCTAAGGAGAGGAAGTTGAGAAGTAATCACCACGATATCTATTTATAGTAGAGTTTAGATAAAAGGATAAACAATAATGAGATGAAATATAATCTATAGAAAATCTTAAAAAATTAGATTTATATTTACCATAAGATGTAGATAACTGTAAATGATAGAGAATCTAAAAAACTAGATTTATATTTACCATAAGATGTAGATAACTGTAAATGATAGATATATATTATATACTATCATAAACTAATTTGCTATTCTAATCCTTTTAGAGACCAAACGGTCTTCAATTTTGTCATGCATCGAGTTTCATTTTTTTATTTATTTATCTATATATATATGGAATAAAATACATTAATGGTCATATGCGACGCACGTGACTATTTTATCAAAAATTTAAGAAAAAATTATAATTTAGTGTAATTCTATAAAAATAATTACAAATACATGAAAAACTTATGTATTTAATTTTTAAAATTGATAAAATTTATCATTAATTTGTAATTAATTTTTTATAGTTACACTGATATGTAATATCACAAAAATTTAATATCGGTTATAAATTATTTTTATTTATGTAGCTAGAAAAAATTAGATCAAATTTATCACAATAGAAAAGATATGGATCAAATTGACAAAAGACTAAATAATAGGAAACACTGATATAATTTATCCATATCTAAATTGAAACTGCACGTGGTTGATTTTTGCTTTAACTCAAAAAGAGAAAAAAAAAAAAAAAAAAAAAAAAAACCCACCAATTGGTGTTATCGTGTCTATCTAATTTCCATGAAGATGCTTATCAAATAAAAAGGCTGGCAAGAAGTAGGCAGTCAGTTTGTTTTCAGAGGTAGAATGGAGGGAATTTATAGTGAAGAAATTGATAATGAGAACATTAAGTAAAATTGTGTTTATTTTGATGATAGTTGTTAGTATAGGAATTGTTAAATTATTTTTATATAAACTAATAAAACAAATAAAAGAATATAAAAAATTAAACATTAATATTTATAAAAAAATTTCCAATATATAACAAATAAAAAAAATAAAAAAAATTTAATCCTCTCACTATTTTTCTAATACTATCTCCCCAACTTCCATCTCAATCCCCTCCCCCATATCTATCTATATCACCTCAACCATCCTAATCCCTTCCCCAACTCTACAAATAAACACAATATTAAATAACACCTCTACCATCCTAATCTCCTCCCATCTACTTAATCCAAAACAAACGGCCCTAATAGTTATCTCAATAGAAATGTGAGGGTTTCGATTGCCAAGTATGGCCAGGCGGAGGGTCGGGTCGGGGCGATTATCCTCGATTCATTTGGGGTATGGTTTGGTGCTGGGCCATATCTTCCAGTGAGATTTAATAATTTTTGGCTAAATTACACTTTACTTTTTTTATATTTGATCACTTTTTTGCTATGGTTTTTAAAATTTTTTTTTTCATTTTAACTATTCATATTTCAATTTTTTTTTACTTTACTCTTAAAGTTAATTTATGTTCAAAATTAGACAAAAAAATAATACATTGACAGTTATATAGTATAAAAATATTTTATTATATATAACTCACATATCTGAAATAAAGTTAAAATTTAATATAATAATATATTTTTATGTTATGTGACAGTTATTATAATATTTTTTGTCTAATTTTGAACAAAATTTAGTATTAAGAATAAAGTAGGAAAATTTTGAAACATAAAAGGGTAAAGTAAGAGAAAATAAATTTTCTAGACTAAAATTAGGGGTTGCGCGGGTCGGTTAAGGCTACGGAATCTCCAATCCGCCATCCGTCCGCCAGATTGGCGGATTGGAGAAAATCAATCCACATCCGTCCACCAATCTGGCAGATGTGGATTGAGTGGAATAATGATCTCGGTTTAATTTCAACTTGTAAATTGTCCACAAATTTCAACAAGTGTTAAATAATGATCTCGGTTTAATTTCAACTTGTAAATTGTCCACAAATTTCAACAAGTGTTAAATAATGATCTCGGTTTAATTTCAACTTGTAAATTGTCCACAAATTTCAACAAGTGTTAAATAATGATCTCGGTTTAATTTCAACTTGTAAATTGTCCACAAATTTCAACAAGTGTTAAATAATGATCTCGGTTTAATTTCAACTTGTAAATTGTCCACAAATTTCAACAAGTGTTAAATAATGATCTCGGTTTAATTTCAACTTGTAAATTGTCCACAAATTTCAACAAGTGTTAAATAATGATCTCGGTTTAATTTCAACTTGTAAATTGTCCACAAATTTCAACAAGTGTTAAATAATGATCTCGGTTTAATTTCAACTTGTAAATTGTCCACAAATTTCAACAAGTGTTAAATAATGATCTCGGTTTAATTTCAACTTGTAAATTGTCCACAAATTTCAACAAGTGTTAAATAATGATCTCGGTTTAATTTCAACTTGTAAATTGTCCACAAATTTCAACAAGTGTTAAATAATGATCTCGGTTTAATTTCAACTTGTAAATTGTCCACAAATTTCAACAAGTGTTAAATAATGATCTCGGTTTAATTTCAACTTGTAAATTGTCCACAAATTTCAACAAGTGTTAAATAATGATCTCGGTTTAATTTCAACTTGTAAATTGTCCACAAATTTCAACAAGTGTTAAATAATGATCTCGGTTTAATTTCAACTTGTAAATTGTCCACAAATTTCAACAAGTGTTAAATAATGATCTCGGTTTAATTTCAACTTGTAAATTGTCCACAAATTTCAACAAGTGTTAAATAATGATCTCGGTTTAATTTCAACTTGTAAATTGTCCACAAATTTCAACAAGTGTTAAATAATGATCTCGGTTTAATTTCAACTTGTAAATTGTCCACAAATTTCAACAAGTGTTAAATAATGATCTCGGTTTAATTTCAACTTGTAAATTGTCCACAAATTTCAACAAGTGTTAAATAATGATCTCGGTTTAATTTCAACTTGTAAATTGTCCACAAATTTCAACAAGTGTTAAATAATGATCTCGGTTTAATTTCAACTTGTAAATTGTCCACAAATTTCAACAAGTGTTAAATAATGATCTCGGTTTAATTTCAACTTGTAAATTGTCCACAAATTTCAACAAGTGTTAAATAATGATCTCGGTTTAATTTCAACTTGTAAATTGTCCACAAATTTCAACAAGTGTTAAATAATGATCTCGGTTTAATTTCAACTTGTAAATTGTCCACAAATTTCAACAAGTGTTAAATAATGATCTCGGTTTAATTTCAACTTGTAAATTGTCCACAAATTTCAACAAGTGTTAAATAATGATCTCGGTTTAATTTCAACTTGTAAATTGTCCACAAATTTCAACAAGTGTTAAATAATGATCTCGGTTTAATTTCAACTTGTAAATTGTCCACAAATTTCAACAAGTGTTAAATAATGATCTCGGTTTAATTTCAACTTGTAAATTGTCCACAAATTTCAACAAGTGTTAAATAATGATCTCGGTTTAATTTCAACTTGTAAATTGTCCACAAATTTCAACAAGTGTTAAATAATGATCTCGGTTTAATTTCAACTTGTAAATTGTCCACAAATTTCAACAAGTGTTAAATAATGATCTCGGTTTAATTTCAACTTGTAAATTGTCCACAAATTTCAACAAGTGTTAAACAATGATCACGGTTTAACTTCAACTTGTAAATTGTCCACAAATTTCAACAAGTGTTAAACAATGATCACGGTTTAACTTCAACTTGTAAATTGTCCACAAATTTCAACAAGTGTTAAACAATGATTTCGGTTTAACTTCAACTTGTAAATTGTCCACAAATTTCAACAAGTGTTAAACATCATCTCGGTTAACTCTTCTCTTCTCAGACTTAATCATCTTAGGCCGAGATCTTGTCTTCTGGGATCTAGGATCCGAGATCTGGAATCCGGGATCGGCTTACTTGGGTTGAGCTTCTTGTCTTCTCATATCCAGTGTTATCTCAGCTTGAAAGGTAAGGTCACCTCGACATCTTGTCGCTTTCTCTGGAGGTAATCCCTCAGATCCTCCTTGGTTCGTCCAGGAGCTCGGCTATCTCCGAATATCAGCCTCTTTGGTGCACTACTTCTAGTGTCATTGCAAATCCTTTTGGACCTTCCTCCATTGGTCGTGTTGAAACAGAGGTCCCTTCCCTGAACATACCGATGTTCTTTGGAGTCAGCTTCCTTGGTGCGATGTGTCCTCTGTGAATTTCCCTTTCTTGATTCTCCTCGTCCGACCTCCCTTGAAGACCGGTGAGAATGTTCCTTGGTCCTATCGTGTTGAGGAGTCGTAGGAGTTGTCTTCTGCCCCCTACCTAGACATCTTTCTTGGCTGCTGGAATCGGCGTATCTTGTGACGGGAACGGTAGCTGGAGGTCATCCTCGTTATAATACTTGCTTCGGTCTGATTTCTTCGGCACGTCGCCCTCTTGGCCGACGTCATCTTCTCCGTGATTCTTATCACGAGTTTCTTCGTTGTAGTTGTCTTTTTCGACGCCAAGGTCAATATGTTTCCCACTCTCAGTAGGGGTGTTGTCCCCAACCTTCTCTTTTGATCTGTCGTTGGCCATCTATTCTCCTTTCGTTCCCACAGACGGCGCCAAATTGTGTGAGTGATTTTCTAACCACACTGCCCGCTTAGTAACCAGCTGGAGAGCACCGGCAGAATAGATGGTACCTAGCTAACCTGCAACAGAAAGAGAAGATTCCGGCGGTGGTTCGTCCACCTGGGGGCACTCCGACGATCAAGTCAATATATCTCTCAAAGATAAATCAAGTGCTAAACTCACAAGCTTGAGTATCAAAAGCATACCTTAGACCCATGGAGGTGCCTCTCTTTTATAGCTAACTCAATCCTAGTCCCAATAGAAGCCTAACTTCTATGGACTCAGGATTACTGCTAATCTTGGACTCCTAGTAAGATTAGGATAAACTCTCTAAGAGTCTTATCTTAATACA